TGTTCATTTTCTGTTTTATAGCGTATAACAGCAGTAACTGCGTAATAATTTTCATGCTGAAGTAATCAGTGATATATACGCTGAACAAGTGAATTAGATTTGTCTAAATGTATTCATTTTTCGATGTTTTTGAGTCGTTTTAACACTTTTTTTCGTGGAGGCTCTAAACCTCAATACTGCCATTATGAAATGAAATGAAGTAGTACAAAACGTATAACAGCAGATATATGTTTAACTAAATTTGTTTTATTATACTCTACTTCTACATAATATTAAAACAGGATACAAAAAACTCATCGGAAAACATTACTTGATTATATTACAAAACATGAAAATCGCGCCTAGATAAAATACACAAACTATAATATACAGCACACAGTTTAAACTAGTCCTCCTCTACGTATGCGGCGGTGCAGAAAACAGTGCAGCCATAGTAATTATTTACATAGTAATCAGCAATGTTTTACCAAAGATTGGCGTCTGCGAACCCACATATGGTGTTGGTAACGTTCTAAAACAGTGTATAAACGGAAAAAATTGCGGCGCACGGAAATGCCAGGAATTTGCCTCTTTAACTGAGCGACGATGCGCATAAACATACACTAGAATTCACGAAATCAACAATAACTTTCACAGAATTGTATGAAGTTACACATTAAAAACGTGAGAGATGTGGACGTACTTGTGTGCTCGCGCTATCAATTTAAATCCGCACCGTATTTACCACCTGTCCGGCCGCTGCAGGCTACGACAGGTGCACACCATAGACCAGTCCTCGCATTTAATTACACAAGTAACAATCGTATGGGCCGAGCGAACACCCATAGTATCTCATTCAGGCAGTCGGCTCATACATATTTTTTATAAAACTCGGTATTATATAGTTTATATTGATCATATCGTAGATCGTTAAAATGTCGTACGCTGCCCAAAAACTCCGCCTCTTGAACTCAGTACATACGGAAACAAGTGACTTTTCGCCCGCTACGATAACTGCAGAACGATTACGAGCAACAACTCATCATACAATACACACGAATAAGCGAACATCGGTATGACTAAGTTCGTCACCTGCCACGAACAAGTAAGTGCGTTGCGAAAGTTTAGCATTACGTGGGAAAGTAAATCTTGAGTTATAACTAACAGTGGTTGTGACCTTTTCTAGAGAACTCGGATATGTTCGGCCCTATAGGTGATCTCGTGCTCTCACCGCTTCGTGCGTGCAGCTATACGCGCTCATGCTATAGAGGCGAAACCGCCGAACATATATTCTGCTCCGCATTGCTTCCTCAATATTGGCGGCTGACAGTTAATATACTTCGCGGCCGTTCGTTATTTATAGGGGCGATAGATGGCGAGTAGAACGTCGGCAGGCGGCCGACGTGACGATGGAGCGACGGTAATTCGTCTAAACCTCTTTATATTTGCCGTCAGTAAAGAATGCGTTATGTTTTCCGCCGACGAAGGACGACCCGTGCCGACGACTTCCCCCACCCACACCGTGTGCGTGCATGTGCGTGCCGTGTATGATGGTGTGTGTGCGCGTTTTGCAAATCTTCATGATAAAGACGGTTTTACGACCATCGCATGCACTATAAGCGGCTGCCTCGGATACACGCAGTGTTTTCTTGACACCGTACAGCGATAGCTAGCGCGGGGCAAGCGGGCGGGAAGAAATCGCATATGCAAATGGGCGACTGAACGCTGCGACCCGCCACGTGGCGCGTCGATCGCAGCAGCAGGGCGACGATTTGCTGTCTGCTAAAATAAGTTATGATTAATTCGAGCAATCGCCGCTGTGCGTGCGTCGGCTAGCTGGCGGCGGCTAGTTATTGTTTTATGGGCGCGTGTTTAACTGCGCCATTTTACGGTCCAATTACGTCGGCATCGCGGCAGCGATTTGTGCGCCTGTCGTCACCCGCTGCACCGACGTACACCCCGCCATCGTACACCAAAGCAACGTGTAGCCACTCCACGCGCTACAACCCCGCTAGAGAGTTCACCATCTCGCACAAGCGGCAGTAAAAACTGTTTGTCAGAGTAAAGGTCTGTGCGCGGGCGCGGGGCTAGGGTAGTGGATAAATAAGCAAATATACTGAGGTATAATAATGTGATTTTTTGAGATAAATAACAAATGAGGTCCCACAGTGAGGCGTGCGAGCGAGAACTACTGAATAGTTCTGCGTCGTTGAGAAAAAATGTGGTAACGGCAGCTAAATCTACAGTAAACCGTGGCGGGAGATGGAGATTTCTGCAAAGAGTAGCAACTGCGACATTCCCTTAGCGATATCGCTAACATACAAACCAAACACGGCTGTTCCCAGCACCGCGACGCACCCCTTACGCACTGGACACCTCTCTCCCGCGTATCACGTTGCCGCGAGCGATTTCGCGTAACATATCGAACGGATACTATATACATAACAACGGACAATCACGAGCGATAACATGCGTATTCACAGAGCAAGCCTCTCTCGCGGAAGTCCGTGAGAGACAAGGTTAGGGAAGAGAGAGAAAAAGTGATGCAAGAAATATTGCGATAGATATAGAGACGACGAAATAGGAAGGATATATACGTAGAATAGCCAGAGTCAGGGTCAGAGAGAGAGAGAGAGAGATGGAGAGAGAGAGAGAGAGAGAGAGAAGAGAGCGGCAGAGAAGCGACAGAGAAGAAGAGAGAGAAGAGAGAGAGAGATAGATGAGAGAGAGAGAGAGAGGCGGGAAACTTGAGAGAGAAAGATAGAGGAAAAAGAGATCGGCGCGAAAGAGAAGAAGAGAGTGAGCGAGCATAAAGCAACACACAGAGATAGTGTGTCTGCCTTGCGAGAAAAAACAGTCATAGATTGAGAGGCAATACATTCACAACACACCACAACAGAGAAACAGATTATACAGCGGGAGGGAGATATAGAAGCTATACATATCCACATATATAGTTGTAGCGTATTAGTATATATATAAGCTATAGCTGGCGGGGCCTGTGCGACGTTGCCCTACATGCGTGGGGCGGCGTGAGGGGGCTCCAGCCGTGGTTGTGTCACGCCCTGTTGCGGACGTGTCTGCGTACTGCTGCTGCTGCTCGTGTAGCGGCGCCGTGTCAGCATGGTAGCGTGGCCGGTCGCGTGGCCACCCAGCTCCTTCATGCCGCCGCTGCTAGCGATGAACGCTGGTGCAGCGCGTTCTGTGTTCGTCGTTACATCCTGCAGAAGACACACGCAACCGCACAGGTTACTAACAATCGCATCGAAGAATTAAAGACATACACACACCCGCACGCACGCGCACACACACACACACACACATGCATGCACGCACACACACACACACACACACACACACGCGCGGCACGCACGCACACACACACACACACACACATCCACGCACACACACACACACACACAGCGCACACCGCACACGCACACACACACCACACACTACACACACACACACATGTGCACGCGCACAACACACACACACACATGCACGCACGCACCACGACGCACGCACACACAGCTACACTACATCATCACACACATGCACGCACGCACGCCACGCGACGCACACATCAACACAACATTCACACACACATTGCACGCACGCACGCGTCACACTGCACACACACACACACACACACACACCACACACCACACACACACCACACCATGCACGCACGCACGCACGCACGAACGCACACACACGCACGCACGTACACACACACACACACACATCGTTACGCACGCACGCACGCACGCACCCACGCACGCACACACACACACACACACACACACACACACGCCACAGCACAGCACACACACAACACACACACACACACACCACATCACACACACCACACACCACACACACACACACAACACACCACACACACATGGCACGCACGCACGCACGCACCGGCGCGCGGCATAAACCACGGTAAGACGAGCATCTAAACCTGTCACTAAATACTGATAAATCATTGAAGGAATTCGCTCTTTTTGATGTATGCAGTATCATATATGTAATTGCACGCCGCACTGAGCACGTATACAGTTTATATGATGTATTTGCCACGTACTGAGCAGTTAACTGCGAGGCCGGACTGATTCGACGAGCGATGACGTCAGTGGCCACATGTATTGACACGAGCTGGAGATTGACCGGCGCCGTTCATCGAATTGACGTAGGCATGGTCGGCACCGAGAGTCTGTGACGTCACGCCACTGCTGTTGGCATCGACCTTGAGCGCTGTCGCAGGCTGTGAGTCACGCGTTGTAGTTACCTAGAGATAAAAAGTAAAAAAAAATTTTCATAGAAATTAAGTATTTGTTTAATTATTTCTTTTTTTATATAGTCGTTGATATTTGTTTCGCTTATTGTGTTATTTTGTGTGCTGCTTTGTATTCTGTTGTCATTGGTCTTGTAGACACTATTTGTTGCTGGTTAATTGTTTTATGGCGGCTGCCGCCAAATGAGTGCCGGCGCAAGAAATCTTAAACCTTTTTTTTCTCAATTCTCGCCAAAAAGTCTCGACTCGGCCACGGTTTTAAAACACAGCGACGCAAATCAATGTCCTCAATTTCCATTCTTCAAGAAACAAACATATTATTTTTTTGGC